CCAGGTAGTAGCCAGGTGGCATTGGCTGGTAGACGGAACCCGGAGGAGGCCGACCCTGTGAGATCTGACGGGTCTTTGGGAGGTAATTGGCAGCAGGCGGTCTCTCAAGTACCCAGTGAAGTGATCACTTTGCAGTGATCCTTGCAAAAGTTGCAAATTGACTGGGAGGATCTGCGCTTGGCAAAACTTTCCTCCCCGAGAAGACTCACCTTGCTCACTAGTGCTCTCTGAGTGGCAAAGCAGTGTTCCAAGAAGGCAGCACTAGGTGTACAGCCCATGCTGTGGAGGAGCACCCTCAGCACCCCACCCAGGACGCTCTCCTTGGTTTCAGACACTGTCTGCAGGAGAGGGGAAGGAAGAAAAAAAACAAATTCATTAGAGAGCACTGCAGAATGAAGGAAGCTCTATAAGAGCAAAGGAGGAGTGTTTCATGCTATCACACACTTTATTACAACGTAAGAGAAGAACAAAGAACAAAAATGATAACTGCACAAGTAAATGAAACTCCCAATGTGTTTTAAGGAAATGTTTTTATCACAAAGAACGTAATATTTCTTAAATTTAAAAGAAAGCTATTTCCTACCTTGTTATCTACAAATTCCTTATACAAAGTCGATGATAAATAAAACTATTTGGCACAATATTTGAGAAGCACTGTATTTCTTTTGATACAGAACCTCCTTGAAATGCAATGGAGACCAATTAAGTCCCTGCTAAATTGTGGGGTCTCTTTATAGAGTTTATGTCTAGGATTTTTACATCAAGATGTGAAGTCTGCTCCCTTCCGGTTGCAGTCTCGGCGAGAACAGTTGGAAAACAGCGGGCTCAGCTGAGCTCAGCAAAATCCAGCCGGTAACCGCTGCTGGGAAACCCTTCAGGGTGATAGCCTCCTTGGAGGGGAGGTGAAGGAAGGTGAGGCACTTCACTGACCATGAGAAATCAGCAAATTCCTCATTTGGTCTGAAGCAAGCTCACCCGAACGCAGCAGACACAACTGCCATTGCTGGCAGTCACAAAGCTGGGGCAACCGGGAACTAAGATTGTGCAGCAGGGGTGTATGGACAGAGCATTGAAACTGGGTGAGATAATTACCAACTTTTACTCTAATGGCTTGCAGTAACAAAAAGAATATGAAAAGAACATTCCTAAGCTTAAATTAGCCGTGTACCAATCACACGGAGAAAAAGGAAAAAAACTGGAAGAGAAGAGCGGAAAAAAATCCAAAGGGAACTATAAAATACAGAAAGATTGGGGGAAAAAAATCCTCAAATATTTTGAAAGTAACTTCAGGGAAAAATTATTTGTTATTTGTTTATTTGCATTTTTAGATTTTTGGGACTTACCGACAATCAGCTGCTTTAAACAGACTGTTTAACATTGGGTTTGAGAATAAGAGAGCCATCTACTGGTGAAAGAGAAGTATTGCAACACTACAGCAGGAGATTCAAGGGAAGTTAACCTAATATATGCAAAGATTAATACACAGAATAGAAGCAGTTTCATCTGGAGAATGGCCTGACCTTGACTCTCTTGTGAGAAGACGACTGGGAAAATCTGAGAACATTTAATGGTCTTTCTTTTTCCTTTTGAAGAGTTATAAAAGGAATTAATTTGCAAACAGCTAATTTTACTAAAATTGATTCTTGGACTAAGGATTGGAAAGATCGGAAGAACCTAGTGGATTAATGTGGACTAATTTGGATTTTGACAACTCAAAAGAAGGAAAGGGCCAGAAGAAAAGAGAGAAGGAGGAAAATAAGATTTGAAAACCTGGATAATTGGGAGATACATATTTGGAGAACTATAAGGCTGTAAATTATTGTAGTATAAAGAGAGGAGTTTGGGATGATGAAAAATTTTAAATACTGAAACATTGGAACAATAGAAATATATTTTTTATAATTTATAATCACGATAAAATAGATTCACAAGAGACATTAGAAATATTGTTGATGTTAAAAAGTAAAGAGACAAAGAGATAGTTTAAAGATACAGAAATGAATGTAGAAGCTACTCAACAATTGAGGGGAAAAGAGNGTAGATAAGTCTAACTGCTATTGCTATTGCTAAGATGGCTTGTCTGCTGGCTGGAGAATTCTGGGAGTTGAAGTCCACAAGTCTTAAAGTTGCCAAGTTTGGGAACCACTGGGTTAAAGTATCATGCTAGAAACCAGGAGATTATGAGTTCTCCTTCAGCCTTAGGCAGAAATGTTGGCTGGGTGACTTTGGGCCACTCACTTTCTCACAGCCCAACTCACTTCACAGGATTGTCATTGTGGGGGAAGTAGGAGACGGACGGAGTATTAGTTACTGTATATCTGCTGCCTTGAGATATTTATAAAAATAATAAAAGGATAAAATAAGAGAGGGGGTGGGGGAGGGAGAGGAAAGGAAGGAAGGAAAGAAGAAAGAAAGTAGACAAATGCAACCTTTTAAGTTATTTGGGTCTTAAAGAAAAAGGTAACATTTCTAGCTGGGTGAGGGCAAACCCAGACAAGGCCCAGGTCTCGCCCCAAATCTCTTGCAGGCGATTCATCAGACTCTGCACAATACCTGCTCAGCAAAGGTTGTCTCTCGCAACTCTGGGTCTTCTTCAGCGTAGGTGAGGATGGTCTTCAGTGAGCGCCTCAAGTGCTCCTCATTGAAGGTTTGAGATGTTCCCACAAGCGAGGAGAGAGACATGGTGACTTGCATCTTCACCCGGGCAAAGTTCTTTACAAGAGATTTTTCAAAAAGGGCGCTTGGAAGATTATTTCTCTTTAGCGTTAGCAAAATTCCAGACGTACATAGAAAAGAAAACCCCTCCTTTCTTCATCATGTCTAGCGGCTTTAGACAAACCAACGCAAGGCAAAAACTTATCAGGCAAATGCCCAGGGGTGCTAAGTACTTTGCAAAGAAGCACAATGGAAATGGTGATGGGTCATTGCGTTGTGAAAAAAGTGGCATTTTCAGTTTCTTTCTTTCTTTTTTTTTAGGTTCAAAAGTTTTATTTCTTTTAAAACAAACATTTCACCATTCCTCAATCACTAAGACATCGAAGTACAATTTTTTGTGTGTCAAAATAGTTCTAATTTAGCCTAATGCATACCCCTCCCTCCCTCCCTCCCT